CTTTGCTAGTCTTGAAATTGGCGAATCACTACGCGAGGAAATTTTTCAAATTAAGCATTAAAAAAGGAATAATATTTTTTCCGAACGAATGTGCTAAAAAAGGATGAAATAAAGGGAAAATTATCATTATAAAACTTTTCATCCATCTTATTTTAACAAAATCATACAAATAAAAAATGTATATAGAAATAAAATTCTGTCTTTAGATAAAACAATTATTGTTTGGTATGCGAATTGTGTGACCGTTGTTAGGCCTTCTCCAGGTCCGTCTGGCTTCGCTGCGTGCTTTTTTAAATTTGACTTTCACCACAAAAGCGAATGAAATATGGGGAGAGGATTTACTGGCGTAGTTACAATACTAAAATAGCGCATGACAGAAGTATACAGCGAGTGCAGGCGGACCCAGTTCAGGAACAATACTCTACAACTATTGTACTTGACACAGTTGGATTGGGAATTTAGTTAAATTTATTTAACCATTACTTGTATTTCAGTTTTTATTTAAAACTTTAACGTCCAAGATATATACCTAGAGGTTTTATAAAAATTCTCCCATCATTTATCAGAATGGGCAAGGTATCTTCAGGTTAGCAAAATCTGGATTATCCATCAGTTCTCGTGATTAATAATGTTTAAGATGGTATTATCTGAATCAATCGTATTCCAATTTTATCTGAAACGTAATATTAATGATTCCCCATAGTTTCGTTTAATTAAAAAAATGGTTGTGCAATCCATTAATAAGTTTGTAGTCTATTTAAAGTTCTATTCTAATTACAATTCACTCGTTTAATAAAAGTTTGTGTTATGGCAACGGCTTTACCATTTTTAAACAGAAATATCGACACCGAATCTATATAGACTCTAATTAACAATTTTTAGGTTTTGAATCATTGCTTCTGATGAAAAAAAAGAATAGTTATATTTTTATTTTAGTTAATATTCTTGGTAAGCATCCTTGAGAAAAAATGGGCTTATCAAAACATAATTCACAGGAAAAATTGCAAGCAAAATTTTAAAATGAGCTTTGGTTAATTATCAACGCATTTTTTACTCTATTCCTAATCTTTTATATTTCTTTTCTTATATTTCTCGCGTTTTAAACCTACTAAATTTCTTTTATTGTTTCTCCAGCGAAGTTATGATGTTTTACGATATAACGGTAACGAACTCTCTTTTTTAAATCTTCTTGTTACCTCAAGGCCTCGACAATTTTGAACAATAATACCAATACCAATAACAAACACAAATATATAAAAATACAAAAACAAGATAACAACATGATAGTCTGGTTAGCATTTACCAAGAAGATATAACTCGGAGTAATTGGGGCTACTCCACTGTCATGTAATATGATAATTAATAAACAAACAATTCATTAAAAATTACCAAGTGAAGTTGAACAGAGTTTTATAATAAATCAACTGCAAAATATTTAATATTTAAAAAGGAATTAATTGAATGAATTAATAATAAAAAATGGATAGATCTTAAATGGCTTTCCATTGTAGTACGGAGTGTTGACACGAAATAATAACCCGAAGAAAATAAAAATAACAAGATACACAACGGATAGGTGAGAGCGGATCCTACCGAGGTTTCCCAGAGGTTTACGCATTAATAATACCTCCAACAGGCATAATTTACAGGAAAAAGTAGACACCGAGGGAAGGATTGGATAAAAAGGATTTGAATGATGATGGTTTATGACCGAATAAACAAACACAAATTCAAATATTGTAAAAATTTAAAATTAACGAGATCAAATCGAAATTTTATATAAAATTGTAATATGTGATTTTATATTGAATTATAAATAATGAAAAATCATTGATATCAAAATGAAATAATGGATTGCTTTTTTACCCTTTCTGTTTGTCTAAAATTGACTTTCTTTTTAATAGATCTTCGAAAATTTGTCAGAAACTAAAAAATGATGATAGCTCGAAGTAGTCCTAATTTACATGAAACAGTAATTTTCTTTTTCTTTATTGCCTAGTTTTCCAAAATATGTTTTTTTCTTTTATTTTTATTTTAAGAAACAAATACAATTCTATGCAGCCCCAGGACGATACCTTTATTCACCACGCAATTTATTGGCAACTTTGTTGTAATTGGGAGTCATATATATATATATATATATATATATATATACAATTCATTATGGTAATCACTTCATCATCCATGTAATGGGTGAAAATGGAGATTCTAGTAGTCGGGCATTATCATGCATTAACACTTATTTATTGCCAATAAAAGGAGCGGATAGGACACCAGATTCCAGAACAACTTCCTCCACGTACCTCAATGCAGTCAAAGATTCATTCTGTATGATAATCAATTCTGTACGACATGGATCTAGCATAACTGACTGAATCCTCAGAATCTCATTCTTCACCAGGTGCGGTTTGAAGCTGTTCGACACTTCTTGAAGACAGCGAACGATGTCTAACCCGTCTCTTTATCATGTCCCATATGTGTTGGGATTCATGTCTGAATAACGTGTCGACCAACTCATTGTGGTAATCCCTACATCATTCCTGTAATGTGTGATAACTCTAGATACAGCTCAAAGTGACGAGTGACTTTCAGACGAATGCCCTCAGTGTGCCTTAGTGCGGTTCCATCCCATACCATAACTGACTTTCTTTGAAAAGGCTGTTGCTCATGCATGGCATATGGAGCAAAGCGTTCTACACGTCTTTTCTTAACATGCGGTCCTGGTCATCTGATTGTCACAAACAGCCCTCATTGTTCAAGTCTCAAGAGAGATGCTGATTTGTGAATAGTCGCCCTTTATGCCAGTAATAAAGAACCTGATCCGGGACGTCGAATAGCCTATTACCACAAAGCCTGCTGATTACTTTTCTCATTTAGAGCTCACCCTTACACTACGGATAATTTGGAGTTGACTATCAAGGAAGACGTTAAATGACCGCACCGTACTGCGAAAAGAGCAATTAGAACGATCCTTTCTAGCCGTCCTACATCGTCACCATCTACCCTTCGATCAAGACTTCCAATTGTCCTAAATTACTTTAGACAGAATCGTAGATGGTAGAGCACGGCACACCCAGGAATTGAAGTATGTAACGCTACGTCTGCCATTGTTCAAAGCAACCACCCAGGGCAGAGCTTCTCGACTTAAAAACCACGCTTCTAAGAATTAATTTTTACAATCAAATTTGTCATTTCACCAAAGAAAAGGATTTTGAAAACCAACTAATTGACTCCACATATTGGCTTTGAAAAGTATGAAATTGATCGGTTTTTCTTTATTTTTAATCTAAAGAGTGTTCTCATTTAGAACACAAATTCAAAAATGTAAAAGGATTAGTAACATTCTATAAAGGTAAACAATAAGTTAATAATGAATAGTGTTTTTACGTATTAGGCCAAATATTAATCTTTATACCTAGTTATTATGGAGAATAAAGTGTCCAGTTTTTGTCTTTGAGTGAATAAATAATTTTGGTAATATTAATTTATTAATTATTTCATATTCTTAATGAAAAATGTAAAAAAATAAAATATGTACGTATTGAGTTTAGTTTTGAACTTTAGTTTTGTAGTAGGAAAATGTGAGGAAGGGCGATCGATCAATCCCAATGGCAAGAATTTAATTTCTGATGGTATAAACCATAATTTCATGTGCAAGCATTGTCGCGACGTGGAAGTTTTGTTATTCCCTCATTTAATTACAATTGAGAATGATTAAAGAAATTTCCCGTTCTTAGACGTTGATTAATCTTGACGGGGAGAGGCCAAGGTATAACTTTCGATCCGAAATACACGCAACCAAGATCAGAATCAACAATAAAGTAATGAAAGCCAACATTGATACCAAGGCACGGAAAGGTCTTTGTCGATATTTCTTGCATCGTCCTCCGAAACGTATAACATAATATCATTCACGGATTTTGCGTGACAGCCGGTTTATGGGTCTGTAGAGGGAGTGAGAGAGAGAAAAATACATTTTCTTCTCTTCGCTGAGCGATTGCTGTTGGTATCTGCAAAATAACGATATCCGAGAAAGTATTTTTATCCCAATGTTTCTTCGCGAAGGTCGCGTAGTATAATAGACATCATAGATCATAAATAAATTATAGACTTTTTAGAGTATAATAAATTATAAAAACACTTCATCAAATAATATATAAACAATGATTTTTATGGAAAACAACGGGAGTGCATTGTATAGTTTATTATCAAAATTGATTTTAACCTTACATACATTAAATGTTATGAATATATATCTTTTTGATTTTTTTTTTTTACGACGGTTCGCAGTAGAGGTTATATCAACCCTCAGGGTGCCGGTGTTTTTGAAAAAAAGCCCATTTGTAAGTATGTCGGGTTCGAATGCAGGGCCTCTGGATTCGAACCCGGACCTTTACCTTACAGTGATGAGCGCCGTGTCAAAGACTAAACCTTGCGGCCACCGACGCCCCTCTAAATTAATAGTTAGATATCAAATTAATAAATAAATAAAAATACGAATAAATAAGAATCAACAATACGAATCTGGGAGAAAAAAAATTAAAAATTAAATTGAGTTAATNATGTGGAATTTATAAGGTAAGAACCAACTTTATATTCCTTTAAAATACAAACTAAAAGAAGAATTATTTGTATTTTAATTGTATATATTTTTTTGATTTTTTTTTACGACGATTCGCAGTAGAGGTTATATCAACTCTCAGGTTGCCGGTGTTTTTGAAAAATGCCCATTTGTAGTATACCGGGTTCGATTGCAGGGGCGCTGGATTCGAACCCGGGACCTTTACCTTACAGTGATGAGCGCCGTGTCAACGCCTAAACCGTTGCGGCCACCGACGCCCCTTTTGTTTACTTAGTTATTATTAAGGAAAAAAATTTCCTAGACTAATCTACTTTTTGTTGATAACCGGTCAAAATTTCAATGAAAATGAAGATCCTTATCTAACCAGTTGAGAATACGTTTTAGAAACGAAACAACTGGGAAGACCACATGTTTTTATTGAATTAACACACACTGTTAGGAGGTGGTGAAGCCTTACGATTTTAAATCCAATAAGCCGTTCGACTGTAAACCCCCTGTGGTCAGTTTTGCTTAAGCATGGATGAAATACTGGATTGTTTTTTCGACCAAGTGTTTTCCGAGATGGAGAGGGACTCCTTATTGGCCAAATATAAAAGAAGGCAGCTGGTGGAATACTTGTCGACTGTGATCCAGGGTTGCACCAGGGTCGAGGGAGATTCGAACGCAGCTTGTCGGAAGTGCGTCGTCAGCGCGCTCGACTTTCACGACGCGACAAAAGGGAAAAACGGCCAAATCTGCCTCATGGGCAAGTACCACAACGTTCTTTACGTAGCCGCGAAACTTGCGTTCGACTGGAACTTGCAAGACTCCGAGGTCGTTGCACGTCTCTTGGAAGCGTTGTACCTCTGCGAACGAGCTTTCGACAGGCTCATGAGCGGTGCGATATTCGGCCCGAAAGCTTCAGGAGTGATATCAGGTTGGAAGAGCGATTTCGACACGATAGAGGAGAACGTAAACGCCGTCGGGTATTTTTTAGAGCACGCTTGCAGAGAAAAAGCAGAATACAAGACGAAAAACGGCCGTGTCCGTTTAGTCGACGTACCGATGGAAACGTACGGACGCACAACGCCCGCGACCGTGGCCGTTCAAGTCACTAGGCCGGATTTTCTTCTCCTTCTCCTACAACACGGGGCGCAAGTGTTCATCGAGAACTCGCCCTCCCCGTTGGAAGTTCTGCTGAAAAGACTGAGCGACTCCCCAGACCGGATTCCGAGCGGACTTCGCCAGTGTCTCTTCGTTATAATGAGAGTTGTGACTTTTCTACCGTGGAGGGGGGAGGAAGAATTTTTGGAACCCTATTTTCCAGGTTTGAAATTCATACCTGAAACAAGGATGGCGTCACCTCCCGAATTGAAACATTTCTGCAGGATCGCGATAAGGACGAGACTACACGAAAACTTTCAATTGCCAATTGGCATTTGGAGTCTACCTGTACCAGAATCTTTACAACATTATATTAATATCGAGGAAGACTGATATATTGTAATATAACATTTTACACCAATTTTTATTAAAATAATAATCTTTAAACCAGTTTTTATTTTACGATCATCAGCAGTTTCTAAGTCAGTTTTTTAAAATATGTTTTTAAATGCTGTTTTTCTTTTTTCTGCTTCTTGTTTTACTTACTTGCTACATATTGAGTGGACTTATTTGTCTCGTTATTTTACGTAAATTTTACATTTAAAAAAAGGAAGTGAAATTCATTTCGCGTCTTTATCTCCCCTCACCATATCAAACACTTATTCAAATTATTTCCATCTTCGAGAGTTTCAGTGCATTATAAGTCAAAGAAGTAATGTCTAGAAGGTAGATAAATATTTTTGCAATGATATTTTCATAAATAGGACAATTAAACAATGAAATGCCGCAATGTTTTAACTCTTTCAAATTAAAAATTGAGCATAGCGCATTGGGATCTGTTGTATTTGAAACTTCTGGTGGAGGTTACTACACTTACAGGCAAAACATTCCGCATAGTTGATTTTTTATTTTTTCGAACATAAAAAAGTTTAATTTTAAATTTTCTCATTTTTTTAACTGCTTATACTGTGTTAGGGGGCGTCGGTGGCAGCAACGGTTTAGACGTTGACACGGCGCTCATCCCTGTAAGGTAAAGGTCCCGGGTTCGAATCCAGCGGGCTTCATTCGAACCCGACATCCTTACATATGGGCTTTTTTTCAAAAACACCGGCACCCTGTGGGTTTATATGACCTCTGTTGTTGCAAACCCTCGTAGAAAAACAAAAACCAAAAACTGTTGTAAATTAGAATTATCATTGCAGAAGCGAATACATTTAATCTTTCATTTTTACTTTACTTTTGTTTGTTTTTGTTTAGTTTTGCTTGAATTTAAACATTTTATTCAGTCAAATTGAGTTTTTACCAAATCCAATTGGGCATCCGTGTTTAATTTGAATTTAAAAATACCTCTTAGTGCTGATTAGGTTTTCTTTGTTACATTTTCCTTAGCAATTTACATTTATGTTTTTACTTGTTAAAGCAAAATAGCGCAGAGTAAACTGTTAAAAAATTAAAAAATAAAGAACTGATTACTGATTTGTTTATAGTAGAAAAATTAAAACAATCAAATGGGTATATATAAACTGCTTGATTAAACTCAATTCATCAATGCTCGTTCGAAAATACAAATAGTGCTCGCCAAGACCCAAAATGGTAATTATTGTAAATTGGGGATTATAAAATTTCTCGCCAATAGAAGAGAGAACCAGATCAAAAGTAAGTTAGATTATTCTTGCAATCAAATTTGGACTGAAGATTTTCCCCTGTCTCCGAGTAATCCATAATTTGCAGCCAAAATTTTACAGCTCTTTTAAATACGTATGTTATTTAAGTTTGACTCTAATTTTACAAAATAATCTGACTAGGATCGGATCCGATATTGCTCCTTGCATCCTTTACTCATAGCAATACTATTCCCCTACCCCGATACTTCGCTTCATATGACTTAACGTATAGAAGACTGGTGTATAGAAGACAATGGCAAATTAAGATCAATGAAAGCAAGTCCAAATCTCTCGCAATGTTCGTATCTCAAATCTATGTTCGTTTCCTTGGGTTACACCTATATATTTATATATTATGCAGGGTGGGCGACCAAGACGAGAAGGGTTAAATGCCTGGGTAGACTCGTAACCCATCCCTAAAAGGTCCGGGACTTGGTCGGCTCACGGGTTCTGCATAAATCTCTTAGACCTGTTCACAAACCTCAAGATTTTGGACTATTTAATCTCGGAGAGTGATTTGGTGATGTCCTCTTCTTCAAAAGTTTCATTATTTCACTTTTCAAACTATCACACTCGCGAGGTAGTGCCTTGCCGCTTCTTCTTTTATTTCGCAAAAACGGCAAAAGGAATCTGGTAGAATACCCATTACGGAGTGGTGTCTTCTCGGTGGGCAGTGGCCCGTCAGGATACCTGTCAGCCGTCTAATTCCCTTCCTTGAGCTAGAGAACAGCCATTTCGATTCTGCTGGTTTGATCGCCTTAACAAACTCTTTCGATTGCCTGTGTCCGGGGGATAAATTCCACTCCCTAAGGAATTGTTTCATGCCCCAGTTGTTGATACTCTCTTTCGCTGTGCTCATAGAGTGAGGTAATACTGGTTGTGGCCCGACAAACGCAATATTAGAACCTTCTTTGGCCAGGACATCCGCCTTTTCCTAGCCATGGTGTCCTTTACGTGCTGGTATCCAAATAAGGGTTACCCTGTTCTCAAACCTGGAAGTGATCCTATTGATTAAATCTACAGTTTCCTCCACCAGTCGTGAGGTTGACAAACCTTTTTGTAATGACCTAAGACTAGCCTGATTGTCAGAAAAAATTCTAATATCTTTTCCCTTAATTTTATTTTCCATAAGTGTTCTACACCACTTATTGACGGCTCAGATTTCCGCCTGAAAAACTGAGGTATTATTACCAAGAGGGGAGGAGATGCTGATTCCTAATTTTGGTATGTAGATTCCTGCACCACTCCCTCTACCTTTGATAAGTGATCCATCTGTGTAGCAGTCTATGTTACAATGGTCATCATCCAAAGTATAATTATAATCAAAAGGGGTGACTACCTGAAAATGCTTTTTCCCCGAAAGGGTTTTAATCTTTTTATCACTAACGCTTAATAATTGTCCGTTAACCTTACTCAATGGTTGTGAGATTTTCGAGTGACCTATGTTATTGCACTTATGATTCCAGCTGCCCTCGCTAATTAATCTGTAGCAGCTGATTAGTGCTCTGACCTTCACCTCAATGTGAACCCTAGGTGTGGATAGGGTTACACCTAGACTCATGCTTAACATGAAAATTGCATACCCGACTAAAAGGGCAAGACGCTACGGTCTGCTCACGGAACGACAATCCATGGTATCGACGAAAATTTTACAATCTACAAAATGTTTCTACAACCGATTCGGATGGAGCTGTGGAAAACTGCCAAACCTTCCAATATCCAATGTTTCCAATATAAAGTCCTTAGATCTATTGTAAAACCTCCGTATTACCTCTCCAATACTAGTGTCACACTTGTTACATTAACTTTGTAAATTACGTTGGACAAATTAAAAGCAGGGTTGTTTGGTTTAGGTTCGGGCAACAATTGTTTTTACAAGTTGAGTCTGGGGTAAGCCTGGAATATAAACAAGAATCTTAAATATAGATGTTAACGTACAACCAGAACGGCTGTATCCAATCCTTGAAATCGAGAGTACTTAGATCCATTGTAAACACTCCAATACTATCCTCCACAACCACCCTAAAATATCATTTACACCAAAATTAATTCTTTAACAATTTACCAAGTTCCACAGTAAACTCTCCCATAATCTCCCAATAGTCTTGTCCAACAGATCCCGTCCCTACAGTCCTATAACCTCGGGTTTCATTCTACATTCTAAGAAGTAGGAAGCGAAGTGCAATGAGAGAAACATTGATTATTTGCTCTTCTCAATTCGAGTATTAAGTATGTAAATAGTTTTTTAATTAAGGCTTTGGTTGAGACAAAAAAGTCAGTGTCACGAGCGGCATTCGAACACACGATCTTCGGTCAAATACGCTGCTGCTCTACCACTTGGCCTGTCGACCCACCCGGACACCAACTTCCCATCTCAACCCCAACTTTTTTGAATTTTTCCTCCTTTTTGCCATTTTTTGAATCCCGCTCGTGACACTGACTTTTTTATCTCAACCAAAGCCTTAATTAATTGAAAAGAATTCCATATATTTGNATATATATATGAAAATAGTTGTAAAATATATTTATGTAAATTAAAAATATTGATAAAAAAACAAGATATCAAAACAAATAAATAATAGGTCATACCTACAATTCATTATTGACGACCTAACAGTAAAAAGGTGCCTGTAAGGTCGGTTTTGTCGAAGAAAAGTAGTTGATATAATTCAATTAATCATAAGTAGGACCTTGAAAATGAAAAAAGTCCTATCCCATAAACCATCCTATTGCCCCTAGACAAATTATTCTTTTTTATACATAATTTATTGGGCATGCCCAAGAGAACGATTAGTTATTGATAGAGAGATTTAAATTTTTCATCTTTCAACAGAAAATAAAAACGAGCAGTTGTATAAAAATAAATCGTCGACAACATTATCTTACAGAGGAACGCTTGGATAAATGAATCTGTGGTCCTTCCTTTTACACTTTCAATCATGACAACCATGATGAACTATGACAATTTGGCAAGTCGTCAAATATGATATTCAATCATTAATTTTAAATTATAGAGATTTTATTTGCTGAATAAATTGAAAAAAAAGAAAGAAAAAAAAGAAAGCGCCTTGTAGGCAATCCATCATAACTTGTAAGTATTGCTGGTTTAGTAGAAATGTCTGTTTTCAAGGCGCTGAGAGTATTTTTATGAAAATTTCATCTTAAGACAGACAATTTTATCCAAAATGTAATTGTTACATTTTAGAGTTGATAAAAGTTAATATAAGTTAACTTAATAAGTATAAGAAAATGATCTCGGTAGTTAAGAAAATTTAAAATTTTCCTCACAAAACTTAAACAATAAAATTAAACTGGTTTGACCAAATCCCAAAATTTTCCATCTTGCCTTCGGTCCTAAACTAGTTAGAATTGAGAAAAAATTCAGTAAAAAACCCGAGGGCGAAGGTCTTTTTCAAATTTAATAGAAGTGCTCTATGAAACTGCATTACCGTCAGATATTATCAGAGGTGAGCGTATTAGTCTGGAGTGTTCGGAAACCTCGTTACTCGATCTAAACCATGTTTGATCCACTCACTTAATCCGTGTACCTACATAGGCAAAACTTGTTAAAGGTATTTGATGAAAAGATTTAATTTCCCCCGGCTTCGACGTCTTCTCCTCTCCGACCCATTTAACTCACTCAGCCGTGCGAACATTAAAGGCAAATCCGAATTTATCAATGGCTTGTTTTTAACTCTGTTGCTTGAAGGAATATATAAGAAAATATTGAAAAAAAAGATAAGAAAAATTCGTAGGCTCGTACATATGGGTTGTGTTTTGAAT